TATTTTTTTTTCCCCCCCCCCCCCCCCCCCCAAACTGGTCGTCAGAAACGACGGGTGGGCTCAGATGGTGGTGTCTGAGGCAGTGCCCCCGACCTTGCATCCCATAATCAAATTTCAGCTCCATCTCAGAATTGGCCTGACAATTGGCCCTTGACTAATTCAAACACAGATTTGATTTAGGAGTGACTGAGGTGGGATCTTTGATAGACGGTTGAAGGTGTTTTTGCTCATCTGTAGGATGCCAGAGACTAATGTTCTGGGGCTCGATTACCATTTTTCTTTAGATGAAAGTTAGGAAGATAAATTCCATGATGTTCATAAGAACAGTACAGTTCTTAAAGGTCACATATTTTACACCTTTCTGGAGTTTTATTTTAAGTCTTGATGTCCTTAAGAATATATATTTGCGGTATAAGTACCAAAAACCATCTCAATATATTTTTACAGCTCCTCTCTCAGGAGCTCTGCAGAGAACAGGTCGATTTTGGCCTGTCTAATTAATATTCATGAGCCTCTCTTCTGATTGGCCTGTTGTTTTCTGAGTCACAGCGCTAGCTAGAGGCAGGAAAACAAAGGGGAAGCTGGAGGCGGCCCATTCAAACCAGAGCAGATTCGGCTACATAAGGAGCTTAAAATATCATCTTGTTGTGATGTTGGGTGCCAGAATCGACGTAATAAAGCCTCAAATTGAAATTTGATCGCATATCTACTGCCACTGCCAGACAAAAAAAACGACGAGAGCTGTGGTTAAACACAATAAAACGAGCAGACTGGACAGAAAGGATCATCAAAAATGCTCGCGTTTGCAGCGCACACTTCTTATCAGAAAAGGTTCAATGAAGTATTGTCTTTTGTTGTTATGGGCGCGTCCACAGATTTCTTGCCATATGTCTATGTTTCTTGCATTTCACGACTATGTAGTGTATGAAATTATGTCTGTGTGCATGTGTATAAAACAACAAACTGACGATTTATATATAATCATTTGTAATTGTATTTACATTGTTGTGATTAATTGTGGCTGGAACAATAATGTAGCTGTAAAAATAGTTGCCTGCTGAAATTTAAATGTATATACATGTCGACCGATCTAGTTTCATGGTTAAAGTTAACCTTTTCGACATGTTTCCGTGTTGTTGTTGCTCAGCAATAGCATGGACGCGATGTTGTCGGGGGGGTTGGCAAAAGGAGAGTGGGACGGTGGGCGGTGCTCGGGGTGGTGACTGAAGGCGGTGACTGTGTAGTTCTGACGTCAACTTTTTACGGAAGTCACAACAGTTCGTGGACTGTCAGTTTTGTAACTTATATGGTAGTTAAATAGCCCCTAGACCTCAGTTATCGTTAAAAAAGCCATGAAATTTCAGTTTTGACAATATGGGACCTTTAAAAAAATAAGTTCTCAAATGTTTTCCTAAGGAAACCTGATTGTATGGTGGTTCTTGTTGAAAGCTCGCTGATCAGCTAAATGTAAAACACCTCAAGGCCGTCTTTTTGCACTTTCTGCAGATTGCATAAAAATATGAAGCACACAACATATATTTTGATAGGAGTGCCTGTCCCAAGATGGAAAGGTTTATTGCATTTATTTGTGAGATTCCTATTTGACTCGTTTCGGTAGAGTTGTTACTGGATTGCAAATTCAGCAAAAACTCACATCAAGCATAATCATGACTAGAGATGCACGAAACTTAATTTCTCTGCCGATACCGATATGCTAACCGATGGAACCCTATCATTTGGCACATTACTATAGTATTAAGGGTTAAAATTAACAACACCGCTATTATATTCCACTGCTATTTATTTTCAGATATCATAGCTACACTCAACTAAAAATATGTCTTTACAGCTCATTTGCACTTAGTCTTCCAGATTTATTCAAGCATACATATATAGTTATAAGTTAAAAAAAAGCTCCTCTTTAGTGTTGTTTTATAGCTAACTAATGAACTGTGAACAGTGGATTAACTTACTTTGCGGAGGTAAATGCCACGTTAAAGGGTTAGTTCACCTAATAGCTTGTGTTTTACTTACCCTCGAAGCATCCTAGGTGTATATGACTTTCTTCTTTCAGACGAATCCAGTCGGAGTTATATTAAAAATTGTCCTGGCTATTCCAAGCTCTATCATTGCAGTCAGCGAGTGTTGCAGTTGAACAGTTCACAAGTTGTCAAATAAAGCGCGCGCATTCATAATAAAACGTGCCGCGGACGGCTCCGGGGGATGAATAAAGGCCCCCTGTATGAGTTTTTGTAAGAAAAATATCCATATTTCAAACGTAATAAACACTTTTCTCTCACTTCCGCTGACTTTCATACTCTGAAACGGATGACGTAAGACGCGCAACGTTGCGTGATTAGTGACGAATGCGGAGAGAGAACAAAACAAAACGCCGGTCACAAATTAGAAGTACAAACCGAAGATTTGCAAAGAAAAATGTCTGAGGATTTCGATATAAACCAAGAAGAGACTGGTTTTCCTTTGCTAAAGTAAGGAAACTTTGCTTCCTTTGCTCCTATTAAACAAACTCGTGAGACTAGCATATATCAGAGGCGTGCGCGCTGCACATACGTCATACGCCTTCCGCTGGAACGAATCCGCGTATGACCGATAACGGAAGGGAGAGAAAAGTGTTTATTACGTTTGAAATATGGATGTTTTTCTTACAAAAACTCATGGATTTGCTACAGGGGGCCTTTATTCATCCCTCGAAGCAGTCTGCGGCAGGTTTTATTATGAATGCGCAAGCTTTATTTGACGACTTGTGGACTGTTCAACTGCAACACCCGCTGACTGCAATGACAGCTTAGAATAGCCAGGACAATTTTTAATATAACTCCCGACTGGATTCATCTGAATGAAGAAACTCATATACACCTAGGTTGTTTCAAGGGTAAGTAAAACACAAGCTAATTTTCATTTTTGGGTGAACTAACCCTTTAAGTGACATACTGTTCACAATCTGTTTTATAGGCATCTTTCCGCATTTGAAACTGATTGAGCGATTACATTAGACATGATACATTTCAGTAAGCTATACTGTATCTTTGAACATACCTTCTGATGTTTTTTCATGTTTATTTTGCGCATATAACTTACAGTGGAACAGACTGCTGCTTGAACTGAGGTGCAGATCTGGCAACCCTGGCTTGAATTAGGGGTGATTCATAGGGTCAAATAAAGCCTGCTTTAATGTCGCTATTTTTAACTGTTAATGCGTTTTGTCACATTAATTTCGACAGCCCTAAATTCAACAGAGAGATTTTCTTCACACACCGTATGAGATGCAGTCTGACACATTTTTCCACCGCCTTTTGATTGACAGGATATAATCAGCCCTGATCATCGGCTGATTTTGAACAATCTGCCGATGGCCGATAGTGAAGCATTATTGGCCGATACATCGGTCAATCTCTAATCATGATCAGTCATTGTTTACATTATCAATGATTAGTGTCACTTCAGAGTACTTGTGCACATCCCTAGTTATAGTGATACATATTGTTTGACTAGTGTAATGCTTAATATTTAAAACAACCTAGTGAATTTTAAATATCTTGCGTTTGGAGATTTAAGAAAATTTGGAGGTTATTTTAACTTTAGCATAGGAACTTTGGGGTTGTTTATGGTGATTTTTAGGATTTTTTTTTTAGGTCTTGTCTTTAGAACAATCTTAAAGGGGTCATATGATGCTGCTAAAAAGAACATTATTTTGTGTATTTGGTGTAATGAAATTTGTTTATGCGGTTTAAAGTTCAAAAAACACATTATTTTCCACATACTGTACATTATTGTTTCTCCTCTATGCCCCGCCTTTTTGAAACGCGTCGATTTTTACAAAGCTCATCGGTCTGAAAAAGCGAGGTGTGCTGTGATTGGCCAGCTATCCAGTGTGTTGTGATTGGCCGAATACCTCAAGCGTGTGACGGAAATGTTACGCCCCTCACATACTGTTGATGCCGTGTCCAGCCGGAGCGAAAGAAAAGAGCATTCTTAAGAAACGTTTCTGAGAATATGAAATATTCTTAACTTTATTTTTAAGTTAGAAAATGATAAGCAAATAGCAAAATTTCATTCTTAAGAATATGTCACGAATCTTGCCCCTGGATTCAGTAACAGATCAAATAAATGCTATAATTTAAATAAAATTCAAATGTCTACTGTATAGCAAGTGTGCATGGAGACTAAATGGAATTGCTGTATTAGTGTATATAGAAGCATTCAGTTTATAAAAAGAAAATTGATTTATTTAACTAGGACAGTTAATTTAGTGCAATTATTTAAACTTTTTTTTTTAATTGGTGCACAAATTATGCCCCAGATCTCTATTAAATGTCCCTAATTATTTTATTAAGCCTAACAAATTTGCATCCTGTTCTTAGTGTTAGCCCTGGTCGAGCTGACGCCGTACACTTTGTATCCGGGGGACAAACTGGAGCTGAGCTGTAAAGGTATCGAGGAGATACAGGAAGTGACCTGGACTAAGGACCACGTTCCCCTGGTTGACGGAGAGCACACCCGCCTGCGCAACCATCAGATGGAGATTGAAACAGTAGAGCCGGCCGACTCTGGTCTGTATGCTTGCTTTGCTCAGGGACCCAACAGCAACCATACAGATTACTTCAATGTCAACGTTACAGGTGAGAAATTATGATTTTGGTTGATTTTCATATTGTTTACAACAAAACATTTAACCTACATTTTTGTTCTCGATCAGATGGATTGGCTTCCTCAGAAGACGATGAAGAAGATGAGTCTTCCTCAGAGGAGGCCAAGCTATCAAGTGACCAGAAACTGCTTCGTGAGTCGCCCTCCTCTCTTAGTCAATCTCTGTGCTCCAAACTCTGACTCAAAGAGCTGCAAATGTCAATAACAGTATCAGTTCCTCAAGAAATTGTTAGGATTTTACTTTAAAGCAGGAATTATAACAGGAAATAGTGCATGTTTTTGTCTTATAAACCACAGCCGTCTTGTGGAATGTGCCTTTGTTCATTAGACTCAAAGTCTTTATTTCTTTTGATGGATTATTCTTTGAGTCCCAAGGGCATTATCAAGCAAGGCAAAAGGAGCGAAACCAGCAGCCATTACCCAAATCTCGCACACGTTGAGCTGCCACTTTAGATTACTGTTTTAAATAGTCATGGCCTTGGTATTGTTCACATTGGTTTTGAATGACCAATCTAACTTTCTCAATATTATTTTATGTGCTTTCTGTCTGTCGTTCAGCAATGGCACCTGTCTGGGCTCAGCCTGATCAGATGGAGAAGAAGCTCCACGCTGTGCCCGCCAGCAAAACCGTTAAATTCCGTTGTCGGGCAAATGGTAACCCTACACCAACACTCAAATGGCTCAAGAACAGCAAAGAGTTTAAGAAAGACCAGCGAATAGGAGGCTATAAGGTGAGGGCACTACACTACAACCCATTAAAATCATGAAACATACAACATCTTGGTTACCTAACTCCAGTTCAGCAACTCTGGTTTGGGGGTTAAAAGGGCACTCCGCCCTCAACAGATAGGTCTTCCAGACACCTCACTGTAGCATGACAGAGGCTGAATAGCCATGCCTGGAAGGCAGACACTGGAGCCATGGGTTTCTGGTGGAGGTGGCCTACTCTTGCTTGGCTGTCCTCATTTTACACAACTGGTTGTGCTCCGACAGATAAGAATAAACTCTGTCCTTTTACTCATTTGACCATGTTGATCGGGAATGCCAACAGACCCAATGTAACAAAACATTTAAATTGATTCCGTAGCAAAGTGTCATTAGTAGTGGTGCTTTGTTTGAGTTTCAGCCTCACTTCACTTGTTTCACACTTGTGAAATGTGTAGTTCAGCCCAAAGTTGTTCTAGTTATGCACAATAATGTTTTAATTTAAAATTAATTCATTTTGGAATTTATTTTTCCAAGTACTATATTGTTGTGGAACATAAAAATATAATTTTCTTCATGCATCTGTTGTCCATATGAAAATATTTTTTACCTTTGCCAAGCTCTAAAAAGGACCAAAAACAAAAAGTTGTTCAAAGAACTTAAATAGATATTTCACCAAAATTGAATGAAAATAAACTAAATCCAGAAGAACTGTGGCGACGTCTCCAAGATGCATGAAGAAACCTACCTGCAAAGTTACAGTACTGTGAAAGGTTTTGGGCACTTGATTAAAATGCTGTAAAGTGAGGATGCCTTTGAAAAATAATGTCATAAATAGATTTTAGTTATCAATTAACTGCTATTAACTAAATCAAATCAATATTTGGTGTGACCACCCTTTGCGTTTAAAAAAGCTTGGTACACCTGTGCATAGAGTTTCAGGTAGTTTTGCAGGAAGGTTTCTTCAAGTGTCTTAGAGTCATTGCCATAGTCTTCTGGATTTAGTCTCAGTTCAGTCTGTCTTTGTGTGGAGCACTGGCTATTGTCAGACTCCTTGTGCATACAAAAATCTCACTGGGTTATTATAATTAATGGCAAAAGTAATGTTTGGAAATGTAAATTGACACACTACAGCAAAAGATAGGAATAACTGGCTTAAAACCATTTTTTGTTGGTGAAAATTCTAATGGCCTAAGACTTCTGCACAGTAATGTAAATATTGATCAATGCACAAACCTAGAGCACATCAAATATGGTCAACCTCATTGGCTCTCGTGCATCAAGCAATCACAGTTGAGCTTCCGTTTGATAGCCTTAAGGCCTGTTCAACACCAAGAAAGCTAACTATAAAGTTAACAATAATGATAACTATTTTAGCATCCACACCCAATGCACAGTAACTGATTATTATAAGCTTGTGCTGCAGTTTTGTCGTTTAAATGCCCTTTTTAACGTTTCTGTCACTTTAAATGCTCAGGATCTTTAAAGGGATAGTTCACAAAAATTAAATGTTTATCTGCTTACCCCCAGGGCATCCAAGATGTAGGTGACTTTGTTTCTTCAGTAGAACACAAACAAAGATTTTTAACACAAACCGTTGCAGTCTGTCAGTCTGATAATAAAGGTGAATGGGAATCACGGCTTTGAGAGTAAAAAAAAACATACACAAACAAAACCAAATTAAACCCTGCAACTCGTGACGATACATTGATGTGTAAAGACACAAATGATCGGTCTGTGCAAGAAACTGAATAGTATTTATATCGTTTTTTTACCTCTGATTCACGCAATGTCCGAACTGTCCTGAGCGGCGACACGTCCTCCTGAGTGCGTTCTCAACAGCAGGCACCTGAGGCGTCTTCTTCTTGCTTTAAGGCGGAGACCTTAAAGATCGCAAACTTATAAGTGCATTACCGCCACCTATCTCTCAAATGGACCATTGACACTCCCAATTGAGATTGTAGATAGAGTGTCAATGGTCCATTTGAGACATAGGTGATTTTATTTATTTACCTATAAAATAAACTGTGTAAAGATTTTTGTGAAAATTCTTAATTTCTCTTAAAAATAACAGAATTCTGGGTTAGAAAATCAACATGAGTAAACGAGTAAATAATGACGAAATCTTAATTTTGGGGTTGAAATATTTCTTTAATTACATTTTTCTTTCTTCATTCTACTCTCTTTTACATGAACATTCAAGTGATATTTTCTGCAGTTTTCTGTTTGTGTCATTGTAGACCTGTAGTGTCTGTGTTTCTCATCAAGGTGTTCTCCAGCTGGGAGACATTAGTCCTCTTCCTCTCCTTACCGCATACACACTTTACCATCTGGAGTGTGTTTGAGGCCACTGCAATGCATATACACATGCACGCACACACAGTAAACGTGCATCAGCATGGTTTATAAAAACATTTGAATATACTGTAACTCAGCAAAATGCTCTCTTTTTAATTTTAATTTTTAATTTATATTTTTTAACCGAGCCAAATCCTAGCGATAGTAATGCATACATAGATTCATCCAAACGTGCCTTTGAGCTCCAGGAGCGTGAGGGGCTTCCGTTAAGGGGCCCTGCAGCTTTTCATAGCAACCTCCCCCGACACTCTTCCCAGTCTCTCGTGGTTTCTTTTGTTTAACAAGAGTCTGGCACAGACTTGTTCATTCACATTAAGTGACTGTGAAAAGGAAGTCAGGCAGACTGTGAGTGTAGCAGCTCACATCTGGGGTTCTGTAGGCCCAAAAGCCGTAACCTCTTAATAATTTTGCACAGCCTAAATCTCATTCAATCAAGAAGAGCTGTTACGGCAGAGAACACTTGCTGTGTTTGCTGGATCTTTATAGGTTTAGTTCACCCGAATATGAAAATCCTGTCATAATTTGCTCAACCTCATGTCATTCCAAACCCATATTACATTTCATATTTCTGTGAAACACATAATGAGATAGTGGTCAAGGATAAAAAAAGCAATATTAAGTACCATAACATTACACTTCTGTGCTTCTGAAGCCACATTTAACTGCATGACAAACATTCACAAATAACAAAAATGTTGTGAATATCTGCCATGAATAATATAATGTACTTAAAGTGCATAAGTATATTGCAAATATTTTAATAAAAGTATATATTTATTGAAACTCTGCTGGTTTGTAGAGGTCCATGTTGCTTAGCAAACATATGTTTTTTAATAGACTGAAGTTTGATGTTTTCTGGCAGTTCATAGGGCTTTTGGCTTGAGAATAGGCCTGTATTAGTGGACATGGAGTGGCCCATTTCCCACTCTCCACCAGGAAACACACTGTTCTCCATGGCTCTGATCTCGTGCCTGACTGATGTTAAACTGACCTGATGGGGATTTGCTGCCAACTCACTCTCAAACTTCCTCAGCCTTTCACTGAAATTATCTTAAAAGACAATCAGCACTCTAATGCATCTTGAAGTTTTCTGCTTTTACATTGGGCTGCAAGATTTTGTCTATAGAAGCCTATAATTGAAGAGTTTTACTTACTTACTTACTTTTTTTCTAAATAGTTCCTACAATATGCAATAACTTTAATTGCATTTAGGTCTACACTTTTTTCACCTTTTGATTTTATTGCGCAGGTTCGAGAGCGCATGTGGACCATCATAATGGAGTCGGTGGTACCGTCAGACAAAGGCAACTACACCTGCCTGGTGGAAAACAAATACGGCAGCATCAATCACACCTACCAGCTGGACGTAGTCGGTCAGTCATGGTTCTTTTTTCGTCTTACCTCAACATTTTGAAATTTGGTTTAATTTAAATGTCATTTTCCCCCCAAGTTCAAAATGTTTTGTCGTCGTTCTTTGGATGAGCAAATTGTGTTGGCCTTCCCTTCCCCACTAGCTCAGCTGCAGTGATTTATTGCTAAACCTCTGATTAAATCGATTCACTTTTTTTAGCAAAGCACAGGAGATGGCAAATGATTCCCAAGGGAGGGTCGCAGAATCACTGCAATGTATACTCGAGTCAATCAGATGCAAATGGGCTAATGCTTTGGCGCAGTATCATTAATGGTTACCATTACTTCTCTGAAATGAACCGAAATAACGGGTGGCTTTACACTTTGCGTGTGAGTGTCTGTGTACTTGTCAAGGACAGGCACGTGGACTCCATTGATGGTGCGTGTTAAATGATCCATTGCAAATATAAAGTGTTTACTTGATGCCATGGATGAGTTAGAGACGTGGTTAGTGGTTTAAGATGAGATCAGAATATTTGGAATAAAGTAATTTAAACACTGATTGGCTAACGTGGATTTGATTGATGCCTTCACTAAGTAGCAAATAAATCAGTGCTACACCCATGAAGATGGAGCTCGCTGTGACATCATTTGCACCATCCATACACATTCATGAGAAGACTGTTTGAATTTGGCATGGAGAAGACACTCACGCAGAAGACACTCACACATTTCTTCCATTTGTGCCAAGTCCTCTTGGGAAGGTCCTACTTAGGAGTTAAGTGGTTGAAATTGGGATGTGGTTTTGATCAAAATGCAATGGATGCATTGGGCACGTTCATTTTTCTTTTCTCCTAGTACCACAAAATGAAGAGCAAAGTGTGCATGTTAGGGGTGTAGTTGATGCTGAATGTATTATTCTTGTGCAGCCACGGAGATTGAGAAATGTAGTTGTTTTTAGATTTCGAATATCAGATTTGCATACAGATTTGCATACCAACTACAACAAGATGCCCAAACCAGGACCTGCGGGCCATAATTGGCCCCTGATGACCTTTGATTTGGCCTGCCATGCCATACCATAAGAGGAGGAAATGTACGGGAAAAACATGCAATTGAAGCATATCTTCATTTCTAATTTCTTTTGTTTTAACTTTTTTTCTGTGTTTTTCGTTTAAATGTAGAGAAAATAAGTTCATTTGATTGCAAAATGTACATTTTAATATAATACAGGTGCATCTCAATAAATTAGAATGTCATGGAAAAGTTCATTTATTTCAGTAATTCAACTCAAATTGTGAAACTCGTGTATTAAATAAATTCAATGCACACAGACTGAAGTAGTTTAAGTCTTTGGTTCTTTTAATTGTGAGGATTTTGTGTTTACTTGATGCCATGGATGAGTTAGAGACGTGGTTAGTGGTTTAAGATGAGATCAGAATATTTGGAATAAAGTAATTTAAACACTGATTGGCTAACGTGGATTTGATTGATGCCTTCACTAAGTAGCAAATAAATCAGTGCTACACCCATGAAGATGGAGCTCGCTGTGACATCATTTGCACCATCCATACACATTCATGAGAAGACTGTTTGAATTTGGCATGGAGAAGACACTCACGCAGAAGACACTCACACATTTCTTCCATTTGTGCCAAGTCCTCTTGGGAAGGTCCTACTTAGGAGTTAAGTGGTTGAAATTGGGATGTGGTTTTGATCAAAATGCAATGGATGCATTGGGCACGTTAATTTTTCTTTTCTCCTAGTACCACAAAATGAAGAGCAAAGTGTGCATGTTAGGGGTGTATTTGATGCTGAATGTATTATTCTTGTGCAGCCACGGAGATTGAGAAATGTAGTTGTTTTTAGATTTCGAATATCAGATTTGCATACAGATTTGCATACCAACTACAACAAGATGCCCAAACCAGGACCTGCGGGCCATAATTGGCCCCTGATGACCTTTGATTTGGCCTGCCATGCCATACCATAAGAGGAGGAAATGTACGGGAAAAACATGCAATTGAAGCATATCTTCATTTCTAATTTCTTTTGTTTTAACTTTTTTTCTGTGTTTTTCGTTTAAATGTAGAGAAAATAAGTTCATTTGATTGCAAAATGTACATTTTAATATAATACAGGTGCATCTCAATAAATTAGAATGTCATGGAAAAGTTCATTTATTTCAGTAATTCAACTCAAATTGTGAAACTCGTGTATTAAATAAATTCAATACACACAGACTGAAGTAGTTTAAGTCTTTGGTTCTTTTAATTGTGATGATTTTGGCTCACATTTAACAAAAACCCACCAATTCACTATCTCAACAAATTAGAATACTTCATAAGACCAATAAAAAAAACATTTTTAGTGAATTGTTGGCCTTCTGGAAAGTATGTTCATTTACTGTACATGTACTCAATACTTGGTAGGGGCACAATTCGGCGTGGCATGGAGGTGATCAGTTTGTGGCACTGCTGAGGTGGTATGGAAGTCCAGGTGTCTTTGACAGTGGCCTTCAGCTCATCTGCATTTTTTGGTCTCTTGTTTCTCATTTTCCTCTTGACAATACCCCATAGAGA